AAAAAAAAAAAAAAAATAACCTCATGCAAGAGAATTTTAAAACAACAACAAAATGTGGTTAAAGGTTAAGTACCTCTAATTTAAAAATCAAAAATTCAAAATGCTATAGTATCTTTAACTTTTTGAGGACTAGCATCATGCTCAAACAAAATGCTCTTTGGAACATTTTAGATTTTTAAAATTACGGTTGTTGAACCCGTAATTATAATACAAACATTCCAAAATCCAAAAAAAGTATGAAATCTGTAAGACTTCTTAGTCCCAGGCATTTCTGATAAGGGATACTTAACCTATATAATGCATAATACAGTAAGAATATACTTCACTTTTAGTAATGGCCAAATATCCCATTTTGATCATAAAAAGTATAAAGTATAATATAAACAGCTCTGTATCTAAGTCTATAGATCAAGACAGTCTTTAAAACCCTCTGATTCAAATCTCACGGAAGCTGATTCAGTGACACTATCCAAATCCTGTTGTCTAGGAATCTAATTCTGTCAAGTAATTGATTTGGATTTGAAAATACTTTATATAGAGATTTTATTACTGTCATGCCATTATGTTGGAGTAGCATTTGAACTATATTATAACAATAACTGTGACTTAATAGCACCCTAGCAGGCACAAGTTCCACACAGCTAAAAACAAAGCAAGGCTGTCTCAAAAAACAAACAAAAAAACAGTAATGTTTTCATCTCTAATAAAAGAACTGCTGGCAAACATTTTAATTATTCTGACTTAAACCACTATGGAATTTCAATTATGAAATACTTTTTAGTGACAATCAGATAAAATCCCCTAATAACCAATATTCTCATAAAAACAAGATAGAAGGAGTACAGATCAGTTCTGAATAGAATTGCCCTATTCATCTCACCAGATTGATCAGCCTTCTCATTGCATGTTCATGAGAGCAAACACATTCACAGGGATCGAATCCACCTTCTGCCATGATTACCCGGCTTGATTTTACTTGACTGTTTAAATCTAGGCGGAAGAAAAAAATACCGTAAGACTGCTATTCAGAGGTATGAAAAGTTTAAATATTATATAGTTTCTTAAAAATATATATATAATATATATACAAATATATATAGTTTATATTTATTAATAACCCTTATCTGTAATTTTTTTTTTTGAGACAGTCTCACTATGTCACCCTCGGTAGAGTACTGTGGTGTCACAGCTCACAGCAACCTCAAACTCTTAGGCTTAAGCGATTCTCTCTC